AGAGAGAGAGAGAGAGAGAGAGAGAGAGAGAAAGATAGAGGCACAGAGCGTAAGTCAGGGAACCCTAAGATGATTGAGAAACCTTAGTGGTCAGAAAGATCATTGTATTTAATAGTTTTGCTCATTAGCAATGTAATTTTGCATTTGTAGGCACTTCTTAAAAATGATTCTTTGTCCATCCATTAAAACTCTTCCTCTTTGGCACTTACTTAAATGTTTTCCTTCTTCCTCAAATGGCTTGACGTACCTTCCCCTGATACCCTTAGTCATTCGAGGACAATCAAAAATTCTGAGGTTATCTTTATAATATATTTAAAAAAAATAAAAGAAATTCCAATAAATTATTTGTATGACTTAAACAAAGTAATAATGCCATTATTAATAATGCTATTATTGCCTGGACAAATCGGGGGAGTCAGGTTCTTTCGTTTTTTAATTTTTATTTTTAAAAAAACCCATCCTTTCTCATTTTACATACCTATCCTAGTTCCTCCTCCCATTCCATCCTCTCCTCAGAAAAGGCAAGGTTTTCAACATTGCCTAGTACCTTGCTTTGAGAAAGGACTAAGGCCCTTCCTACTATATCTAGGCTGAACAAGGTATTCCCCCAAAGAAACTGGGTTCCCAAAGGTCAATACAATCAGTAGGGATAAATCCTGAGCCAGAGGACTTTCTTTAGCTGAGTTAACTATTAGAAGAGAATGACACTGAATTCAAGGACAACAGTTATTAGTAACGACTAGTACTTGTCAGTGGACCCTAGCAAACAGGCAGATGATCACTTCAGTTATACAACAGTAGGAAAAGGAAGTGTCCATCTACCTCACCGTGTTAAGCATTACAATGGACTATTTCTCTGTAGTGAAGAGGTATTCACACATACATGTGTATCAGGACCAATTAGCAACAGACTAGATGTGTAGCAATGGCTCCATGGACGATAAAAATGTACATGTACATAATGAACTTTTATTCTGCTATAAAGAAAACTGAAATTATAAAATGTACAGAAAAGAAAAGATAGGCCTCAAGTGTATAACACTAAGTTAGATAGTCTAAATCCAGGAAAACAAAATCAGTATATTCTCTTTCATGTGCAGATTCTACCCTGTAATGTGCACATGTGGAAGCTACTGTAAAAGTAGGTAAAGCCTTAAAAAACAAAAACAACAACAATAACCTAAAAAGCTCGAGAGAAAACCCAAAGAAGGTGAAAAGAGGTACTAAGGCAAGGAGAGGGCAAAGGCACACAAGTGCCATCAAAATGGTAAGAGGACAGAAATAGGTTATTGGGGCGGGGGAAAGTCAGAGGAGATGAAGAGAAGGATAATATAAAGATACTTTGTTTGAGAATGGCATAGTAATGTCTACTTGTGTGTAGCTTTAAAAAGTTAAAATGTAGGGTTTGCAAGAATTATTCATTTTTCTGTGTCTAAAGACAATTTTAGGTTTTAAGTACAATACACGAATTTGTTTTCTCTTGGTCTAGAATGTAAAATAACTGTGGGTACAGCATGAGACTCTCTGGACTAGGCAGAGGCCATTTATTCTGTGCTTTAATTTAGTCCTTGCTGTGAAGATGATTGTGGAACTTAGAGAAACCAGTGGTTCCTCAAGAAAGTATCACACAAAGATCATAACTATAGCCATGCTGTCTTTGTTTAGGACAATGTAATACAGATTTGTGGATTACTTGCAAATACCTAAAAATTATTATTAGATATAGGAGGTTTTCAAATACCTACATGTATTTAATTCTGTACTATATCCAAGGCTATTGGAGAAGATGGTGTCCCCAAGTCTCAGAAAAGATGAAGCCACCCTCTGTGTCACATGTGGCTTCCTATGTTCTAAAAGCTAACATGCAAATAAATTCTAGTGTTCATCAACAGAAATATGTTCAGAGCAGAAGGGGGACCCCATTAGCTAATCTTAAATTGCTTAATGATATTTAAAACTATAGCTTCCTTTCAGCTTTTACACTGTCTCTTTCTTAAGTTGTTTAGAAGTTATTACTAAATTGACCATTTGCTTTCTTAAAATTATTGTTACAAAAACCCTTGCTTTCCTGGTTTTAATTCTGTTTATCTCTAAAATTCTCAGTGCCCTGGTGTACTTAAATCAAAGTTGTTTCCCCTTTCTGATTGCTAACTCAGTCTAAAATATTTTCTAATTCAATTGTTCTCATAATTGATCATTGTCCATCTTTTCTATGTACTAAAATGTATTCTTCTTAAAGAGGGAATTTTTGTTTAACACATTCCAGAGTTCTAGGAAATAGAAGACAGTCAATTATTATTTCAATTATTTACATGAATAGTTAAAAAACTGTACCTGCTATGTGTCCAAATTGACAAAAGGTAATAAACCCTAAATATATTTAAGAAAGTCTGGAGGATGACTACATACATTCACTTTCCTAACATAGATACACCAACCTCTCTGTTAACAGAGGTTTCTGTCCCACCCAGGCCTGCAGCAGTTCAGCCCCACAGAAACACACAGAGATCTACATTAATCATAAACTGATCGGCCTAATATCATAGGCTTTTCTTATTAACTAATTCTTGGATTTTTTTAAAGTAAATTTTATTAAATTATAAAAGTTTCCATTTCCGCCCACCCTCCCAACACCCTCCCACTCCCCCCACTCCCCCTCCTCCTCCCTCTTCGTCCCCCAGGGCAGTCAGGTTTTCCTGCCCTGTGGGAAGTTCCAGTTCCTTCCCCCTCCCTCCAGGTCCAGGAAGGTGAGTGTCCAAACAGACTGGATCCCCAAAATCCAGTATATGTAGAGGAAACAGGTCCCAGTGTCATAGTCAATGGCTTTTCAGAAAGACTTCGGGCCAGCCACAGTCAGAGAATCCAGCCAAATTCCGAGAATCTGGTTAGATCACGTCCTCGTTCAGTCCCAGTCCAACTGGCCTTGGTAAACTCTCATCAGATCCGTTCCCTTGTATCAGTGGGTGATAGCATCCCTCGCAGTACTGATTTCGTTTTTCATGTTCCTCCTCCTTCCGCTCCCCCTCCGGACCTCGGGGGGCTCAATCCGGTGCTCCAATGTGGGCCTCCGACTGCATAGCCGTCCTTCGCCAGATGAAGGATCTATGGTGATAAGCAAAATATACATCAGTATGGTCATGGGCCACGGCCGATTCAGGCACCCTCTCCTCTGTCCAGAGAGCAATCTGGGGGATCTCTCCTTGGACCTGGGATCCCATATATAATCAAGTCTCCTGTAAACCCTAAAATGGCTCCCTTAGTTGAAATATATTCTTCCCTGATCCCATATTCATCCTTCCTCCCCCCCCCCCCCCCCCCCCCACCAAGCTCTCCCCATTCCTCCCCTACTCCCTTCTCTCTAACCCTCTCCCCTTCCATCGAGCCCCCCACCCCCCCATGCACCCGAGGTTACCTGGGACTCTTGTCTATTTCCTACCTCCTGGTGGATAGCTAAATAATCTTCATCAGGTTCATCTTCTTATTTAGCTTCTCTAGGATCACGAATAATAGGCTCAAAGACCTTTAATTATGGTTAGAATCCACTTATGAGTGAATACATACCGTGTTCCTCTTTTTGGGTCTGGCTTACCTCACTCAGTAAAGCGTTTTCTATTTCCATCCATTTGCATGCAAAATTCAAGATGTCATTGTTTTTTACCGCTGAGTAAAACTCTAATGTGTATATGTTCCACACCTTTTACTGATCGGCCTAATATCATAGGCTTTTCTTATTAACTAATTCTTAGATCTTAAATTAACCCATGATTCTTGTCTGTATTAGCCACATGACTTGGTACCTTTTATTGGTGAGGCTTCTCATCTTGCATCCTCTGCTTCTGGGTAATGACTGCAGACTCCACCTTTCCTTTTTCCAGAATTCTTCTGTTCTGGTGACCCTGGCTCTACTTCCTGCCTGGCTACTGACCAATCAGCATTTTATTAAAATACGAGTGACAGGGTAAAGATCATTGTCCCACAGCAAACCTCTGGTATCATGTTTCTCAGATAACAAAGAAACTGCCTGCCTATCTGTCTGTCTGTCTATCTATCTATCTATCTATCTATCTATCTATCTATCTATTCATTCTACAGTTCTAACTTAGTTTTCCCTCTCTCCTCTTCTCTCCTCTCCTCTCATTCCTTCCCACCGCCTACTATCCATCTGACCACCCCTTATTCAACTCCTCCTCTGTTTCTGTTAGAAAGGGGCAGACCTCCCATGGGTATCAACAAAACCTAGCATACCAAGTTGCAGTAAGACTAAGCACCACCCTTTTTATAAAGGCTGGGCAAGGCAATCTATTATGAGAAATAGTTTCCCAAGAGCCAGCCAAAGTGTTAGGGACAGCCCCTGCTCCCACTGCTGGGAGTTCAACAATCAGACCAAGCTACACATCTGTCAGACATATAGAGAGGGCCTAAACTGGTCACATGCAGGCTCACTGGTTACTGCTTCAGACTCAGTGGGTTCTTATGATACAAGTTACTTGTTTCTGTTGGATTTCATGTGAAATCTTTGACCCATCTGGCT